AGTTTTTTCGCCGTTTCGTAAACGTGGGAAAACCGTGGATCCACCAGAACACAAAAACCAAAGCAGTCAAAACAGTAGGTTCCTCAGGGTTATTCTAGGCAAAAGAAGGCCAAAGTGTTTTTTTTTGAGTCAATATTCATGGCGAACGCTTTTTGAAATGCTCGCGGTATTAACCACATTGACTACCTTCAGAAAGGGTGAAACAGACAATGGCCAATATTATGCCTACTTATTGGATCGATTTAATGAAGATTTGAAAAATAAATGAGCATTTGGCAAAGAACAAAATCTTTTCCACCAGAACAATGCACGGGCGCAGACATGTGCCGTTTCCATTGCGAAAATCCATGAATTAGGCTACGAATTGCTCCCTCCCCCACCCTATTCACTGGATTTAGTCCTGAGTGACTATTTCTTGTTTCCAAACCTGAAAAAATGGTTTGGCGGAATGAGATTTGAGTCCAATGATGAAGTCTTCTCCCAAAAAAGGCTATTTTGAGGACCTCCACAAATCCATTTTTTTAAGAGGATAAATGCTAAAAAAAAAGTTTATGGAGCTAAAATAAGACCATGTTGAAAAATACAATGATTGTGTATAAAAAAAAACTGTTTCTAATCCAAAAAGTCTCGGATTTATTGATTCGCCCTTGTACGGAATTTTAAAGCTAGTAATCTCCATTGGCTTATAAACGTTCGTTCACTTTTTTACAGTGCAGTTCTCATCTCAACCCATCTCAAACCCATCAATGCTTGCGTTAGTAATTTAAAAATAATCCAGTTAAAGATGAAATTGCCAAGGTGAAAGCAAAGTATCAGGTCAAGCTTCAGACCCTTCAAGACTTTCGCAGTCTTTAACTTGGCACACTAGCCATACAAAACTCCGGCGAAGAGACATTCCGACCGAGCTTACAGCGTAGGACTATACTCTAAATAAAGATTAAGATTTTCCTACTTGTTCTTAGTCTCGAAGAAAGAAGATACGATAAATAAAACATCGTAATAAAATAGAAAATACAAATAATGATATGGACTATGGGTGTGACTATGTTTTGTAAGATCCATATATCGAATCGTATTTACAATGACTTTAAACTTACTGGAGCATAGCCTTTGTCTTGATGCTGGCATCGCCTGGCTGGAAGTGCTTGAACTCCTCGACTTCTTTCTCCAAGGTTAGCATCTGCTTCTGCAATTTATCACGCAATCCAGGTAATGTGTCGCGTATATGATTAGTTAGCTGCTGATTAAGAACTCGCTGTAAATATGGAGTGCCTAGTCGATCAGCCATGTGACGATATGAAGAGTGGCTTAAGAAGAACTTGCGTTCAGCGGCCAACGCTTGGTGAATATCTTTGCGACCCTCTATGTCCTTCTGTGAACGATTGACAACACCAATATAGCCGCGCCGCAGGGGAAGCAGCTTATTCTCTAGGATATCACGCGCATCTGTCCCTTCGTCCATGAGATCAAGTTTCGTTATCACACCAATGGTCCTCACACCCTGTGGATCTACCTCTTTGGCCAGCTTAAGAGCATCTGAGTTCGCCAGATCGGTGTTAGCTGGTGTCACGGCCAGTATTAGACATGTCTCTTTGCGAATAAACTGGAATATCATCTGCTTAATTTGCTGTTCAATGTCCACAGGTTGGTCACCGATTGCCACTTTTGTTAAGCCTGGCAAATCAATCAGTGTTAGGTTGAGTACGTGAGGCGAATAAACGCGTAAATTAATAGGAATGTTTGAGATGCCTTTATTACTACCAGTAACACGATCCGTTTCATCCTCGATTTCCTTTCGTATCTCATCAAAATTTAAAAACTTTTTACCCTTACAATGAAGAAATTCTCCATATTCTGATGGCAGATTGAAATCAAGACACCGGCAAAAGACAACAAACGCATTACATATTAAGTATGTAGATTATTTTACAAACTCCTTACCGGTAACTCCATGGATCAGCTGTAATATCAAAGGCCTACGAGTGACAATACCGGATCCGCGAGGTAAAAAATCTCTGCGAAATATATAAAATATTCTGTGTATTGAGCGAGAGAAATATTTTATTTTAACTTTAAAGAAAAATGAATATTATCACTGGCATTTAAAGCGCACCAAACAAAAAACAGTTGTTCTCACAAATAATTTCTTGTTTTTAAGATAATCAAAAATACAGATTACCAAAAGATCTTATTTGTGTAATTACATGTTCTTAAATGGTTCATATTTTGGCAGAAACCCATGATTGGTTAAATCCTTACTTTCGGGAAAAAAATGCGATCAACATGTTTTTTGTCTTAATATAAATAAATATAAATAGTACCGGGTATAAAATTATTAAATATAATTCTTATATAATCGGCTTTCATTCGACTGCCTCAATTATATTAAATTTGTCTTCATTATTAAATTTTCTCAACCGGCTCGCTCGCTTGCTTCCTTCCATTTTGGTTGGGCTCTTTCTGCCTTTTTATAGACTATACTATCGGTTGAATCAATCGCCTTTTATTTGTTGGATCAAAGTACTCGTCTGCTAAACGCCTTGTATGTACATACATATGTAAAACAATCTCTGACAGCATATCCAAAAAGGTTACTATAGTATGTAAAAGCAATACGTCGATATATATTTATACGTATTTTTATGTAAATATATATTTATGTACATATGTATGTACATAGTTTCAAGGAATTTTCGCATAGATTCATATGCGCATGCGAAAAGAAACTGAAACAAGCTATTCTGATTCTATGTACATACATATTATGTAACCAGATATATTTGGTGAACCATTTTTACCGCTTGAATGTGTAGATATAAAGTAGGTAGGACATATGGATGTCGATATTTCTTTTCTTTATGTACATACATACACATATATATTTTTATTTCATGTGAAGCCCGTTACATATTTTGCACACATATGTTCAAGTTAATGGTCATTAAAAAAAAGAGATTTTTTTATGTATCATTTTGAGTTTTAGTATTTATTTGTAGAAAAGTATAAAACTTTATTTTTACACAAGAGCATCGATTTTTCCAAAAAGCAAGCTTTGGGGCGTTTTGTATATTGTGTCTTGTAAATATTCAGAGAACATGAGAGAGCGCGCAGGTCGATAGATAAAAGAATAATTCGGTGCAACTAAAGGGAAGGCAGAGTTATTGCGAGAGATATACTGTTCGGCTTTATCGTAATAATTAAACAATTAGGAATTATGTCACAAAAATACAAAGACACTTCTCTTCTGGTTACTTGCATCTTACTATTTTTAAGTACCACTAGAACAACTGACAAAAACAAACAATCAAACATAATAAAATTATATGTAGAAGTTTGATTGCTCACCAAATGCTCTAAAACCATAAATAAACATACTTATGTACATTGTTATCTCATGAATTTGTATACCTTTACAGTGGTTTTATTCTTTTCTCTTTTTTTTATAAAGTAAAGTTTACCAAGTCGAATAAATAACTCTAGATCTACTTTTCTATACCTTTTTTGTAGCCCCTTTAAATAGCGTAATCTTCAGGATTTTCCGTGCGTACATATATATAACTTTTCAACGCATACATCTTTATTAAGCGAACTATTATTCGATTAACTTTTTGATTGAAAACTTCGTTCCGTATTGACCTTAAAAAACTGCTTTAGAGTTTCATACATATACATACATATGTATGTATTCACGCATGCGATACAAATTTGAATTTTCGTAGAACCATCTGTTTGATATAGTTAGTTTGTTTACATGTGGTCCCGAGACCTTAACAATAAAGGAAAATTTAATGAGAATCGGACAACATATTATTTTGTATTAGGAGGATTGAAAAGTATCGACGCAATTTTTTAATTATTTTTTTTCTTATATTTATGTCAAAATGTATATGTTTACGGCACTTGCTTTACTTACTTGCCCACGAAGTTTTCCAGCACGGAACTCTTTCCTGCCGATTGACCACCAACAACGGCAATCTGCGGCAAATCCAATTGCATGTGTACGCCGAGCGATGTGAACGCATCTTGGAGCTTGTTAACAATAGGTATCAAGTTGTCCATAGTGAAAAAATGGGGTTTTTTTTGGATTTGGTGTATCGGAATCGGGCTTATATACGCTATAACGTTAAATCGTAGTTTATGGATTAATAGCTTCTACGTCGCTGCGCAACGGAGACGCCTACGCCTGTCTGTATAACCGTTCTCCTCTGTTCTAGACTAGGTGAACCTTGTTGTTTTTGGATATTGATTTCGATGAGATTTGGAATAATCTATTCTTCCACTCACACTATTATACTTTTATTTTACTATAACAGGCAGTGCCAGTACTGAAGAGTGTGTGCTATTATTAATGAAAGAGAACAAACTTTTTAAGCATGAATTATTTATAAGCCCAATATTTTGTATGGAGAATATTGACAATACACAGCTATTATTCCTCACGTAAAAATGACACGTAAACCCATAAACACGACTGTAAATGTTGTCTTAATAATGAAAAAAATATAATATCTGAAACAAATAAAATTTCAGGATTGAGGTTTGAGTTTAAATTCAAATACACATTTATGAAAATTTATATACACATGTGTGTGCATGTAATGTAATATTATCACAGGAAAAAAAACACTCAATAGAAGTGCAAACTGAATGTAACAAGCGATAGTGTATAAATTTAAAATAGTTTGAACCCATTCTGATTAAACGAATATTCGGTATTTTTGGGTATAAGCAACTGGATTTTTTGCACATAAACCACATGAGATAACTTGAGCAAAATAAAATTCTCTACGAACTGATGACCGCCGCCGCCCAAATCGTCCAATGGTTTTTTTCAACTAAAATAAGGGATGTAAGAACTACATATATTGGTACGATAGTATAGTTAAATTTTATCGAAAATACCACCCTGATTTTATACAAAACACCACCTACATCATCAGCAGTGCAGTGATGTATTTAGATCAGCTGACACGATATCTGTCAATTTTAACAATCGGAAGTGACTTGCTCGAGCTAAATGACAGCACAGTTCTTTTCGATTGAAAACTTGAAGGCGTCAGTTGTGTTTTTCTTTGCATTTCACGTTTCGTGTCCGAATTAAAAGACTTAAAGTAAGTAAACTAATAGTTGTTAGAAAAGATGTAGAAAATAAATTGTAAACTTTTGAATTAATTATCAAATCAGAAGAACCTTGGATGCTTGCGGATAATTAGGATTAAATATACAAATGTAGAAATTTTACGCATATTAAACGTTATACATACCTATATTTTCTATTTAAAGAATGCGTTACGTGGCTGCATACTTGTTGGCTGTTATCGGCGGAAAGGAAGCCCCCGCTAATGCAGACCTTGAGAAAATTCTCAGCTCTGTCGGTATTGAAGTGGACAATGAGCGTCTATCAAAGGTGATAAAGGAACTCGATGGCAAAAGTATTGAAGATCTGATCAAGGAAGGACGTGAAAAGCTGTCTTCGATGCCAGTTGGTGGGAGCGCTGTAACTGCTGCTCCATCTGCTGGTACTCCAGCAGCTCCAGGTGCTGGTGAGAAAAAGGAAGCCAGCAAAGAAGAGAAGAAGGAAGATTCCGAATCTGAGGATGACGATATGGGCTTCGCTCTCTTCGAGTAAACTGATTTTGTTGACATTCTACTTAAAAGTCGTATATAAAGCAGAACACGTACAATAGCATAAAGTTATATCACAAAACGGAAAAATTCTCTACGGTACGTCAAACAATATATATTTTTTGTTTTGTTAAGTGGACGCAAATAGGTGTGATGAACCAATAACTTCACCATCTTTCGACTGAACAAAAGCATTGATGCTATACAAGTTTTCACTGATCATTTGCCGCCACTTTCAACAGTTCTTTTATTAACATCTACTCCTTTTTACAATGTTTTTAAACCGATTTTCTCTTCTTTGTTGCAGATCAGTCGCCATCTGAAACTGCAGCTGTACAATTGCGATTCCAAATTTATTTCACAACCCAAAAACTTACATTTTAAAAAGCTCAATGTCCTTTATTTCCAAGAAATAAAATCTGCAGTGTTAAAACTTTATAAACCAAATTAGATGTTTTGTATTTCTAACTTTTAAAATTTAAATTGATACGTATTCTGTAATGTATGTACATATGTGTATATTCGAGTGCGATCTATTGACCAATATTAAGAACTCTTGTTGAATTTTGTGTTCATTGAATTGGGATCTTACATGTGTATGTAAAGTAAGAAAAGACCATATTTTCTCAAAATTCGAGTTCTAAAACGGAAAACTAGATATTTTCTTAATGTATGTATATCTAGATAATTTTAATGCGGATAGTTACGTTATAAGGGAAACTGACGTGAAATTCGCATTTAGTTATAATAGTATACTTATATATCTACATATAGAAGAAAGTGTAAATGCAGTTTATTTTATTTCTCTATATTATCATTTAATAGTCACTCTAGGCTACTTAGATCTTTTTATGTTTAGGGTATTGCATATAATCTTGTCAACAATACAGGTTTGGTTAAAAACATGTTGGCTCAGTTTGGGCCATGTCTGTTGAAAAAACTTTCTATCTCACCGAATAGTCCATGTCCTTTTCTATTAAAGTGTTTATTCAAATTAAGATATGAGAGAATACCCTGCAGTTATTATGACTCTTAGCCGGATGTTCACGAACAAACTGTATCCGGGCATTTTACCCATAAGACGTAGATGAGTGAGCTCATGTTGGAGATGATTGCTGTAGCGCAGTGGTCGGCCGCACACATTCACATTTTTTCAGTGCGTTTGTGCGGAACAAAACGGAACATCCCTTCATCACGGGTCAGCGATGTGTAAGCGACTAAATAAATCTCGATGCTAGCGTCATGCAGCTCGCATATGTCAGCGATGACCTCCCATACGATCTACTGTGATGATATTGGCATCGATCACTAGTCGACTAATAAGTGATGAATTTCCCTAAAATTTAATGCATTTATAAGCGATGTATCTTACTTAAAACTCTGGTTTTTTTGAGGAAAAATGCATGTGTAAATTCTGTGTAACAAAATTGATTTTCTTTTTATATTCTTATAAAATTTTAGATTTACATTTTTGTTCAGTGCTCTTTTTTTTCCACAGAACCTTTTTGTTAGTGTTATTGATGTGTTCATGTTCGTAAGGTCGACGTGCTGATTCCGGGCACATTAACTGAATCGCCTCTGAAATAAGATGGGTTAATTAATATACATATTACCATTCAAAATTTCTAAAATCTGTTCTATTAGTTAACAATGTTCTCAGTGGATCAGCTCTGGTAGATCATCAGTGCATTTTCGCCAAAAACAAAACACCCCCCAAACACTGAAACTGAAACACTGCACTTACGTGATTATAATTTTGCCCAAAATAATAAAAACCGCGTCTCACTTTTCACCGCAAAATTCCAATAACGTTATCGACGTCGACGGCAAAACCGAATTCTGTTACGGCACGCGTCGTAACAGAAAGAAACAAAGAGAAAAGGAGTTTGGGTTGACCGACGCGTCGATCGCGACGTCGACTTCATATTCTACTCGTCTGTCGCATTGCAGAGAAAAAATCCTGAATGACGCGTAGTTGACATTTGTCATCGCTCACTTCTGATACTGCAGGGCAGCTAAAAATTATTCTTTGCTTACAATCATAAGTGTTACACTTACACACATACATGCTTGCTGTCCGTCGGCTCGTGTCACGTCATGAGCCGAACGCGGTCATTCCCAGAGCCGAGAGCGGTCGGCCCCAGAGCCGAAGACCTGGGAACGTACGCTGAAAACTCAGCTGCGACACGATCGTTGTATGAACTGGCACATCTATTTACTGTATGGTTTGTATCTGAGTACTGCCTTCCGTACAGAGCCTAGAAAACAGATTTTGACCTACAAAATTTCTTATCGGTTTCATACGAATACGAGGTGTTTTTTCGGATCTGAGTTCTAGGCTTTAGCGGCAGAGAAAAATGCATCGGGCTATGCACAAACGGCTTCATATTCTGCTCACTTGCCTCAGCGGCAGGGAAGCATTCGTGTGCCCTATGCACAATTGCTCGGTTTTTGGAGCGGCAGAGAAATAAGTAACGTATTTGACTTCGTGTCTGTTGTCTTCGCACACAAACACACCAAAAAAATGTGTGAGTCTGTGTGCCGACCCCTGTTCTAGACCATGTAACAACACGTTCTCTTGCAGGCAAAAGTTTTTTTTTTGTAAAATCCTATTAGGGTTCAAAATAGATAACAAATTATTATCTATTGTAAAATTGACAACCAAAAAATGTTTTATCCACAAAAATAAATAAATCAATTGTACATAGGAAAATATGCACTGGCAACCAAGTTCAATTTTGACAATATTGTAAAGCTTCTAGACCATGTAACACCATGTTCTCTTGCAGACTAAATTCTGAAAGTTTTTCTTTCAAACGCTATTTGTTACATGAAGATATCTTGATTCGTACGGAAGTTATTAATTCAGCAAGCTGATGGCCCCACTGTGCGACGCGTAGATCGCGACGTCCATTTCATATTCTGCTCGGCTGCCGCAGCGGCAGAGAAAAAATCCTAAATGACGCGTACTTGACATTTGTCATTGCGTAATTCTGGTACTGCAGGGATTGTATTGGTACCAACCACTGCAATACACGTGTACGTTGAATCTGCGTTGACCCTCTTGCGATGATATTGCTTGTCCAATATTATATTTCTTGCTTTGCAAAACTATAATTTTGAACTATCATATCAAGTGAAGTGTTCTTTAGATTGTTTGTAGGTACATATGTGAGAGATGTCTTGCCTTCTTACCAGGAGCTCCCTATTACAAAAATGCGGGGCGTTACGGGGCCTGACAAATTTAAAATATTAAATCGTAAAAGGTCACTAAATTTGGCTAGTGTTATGGCCTAACTAATTAAATCTTGAGCTTTTTAATGGGAAAGTAACGACTTGACGGTAGTATTAAAAAATGTTTGTGTTTAGTAACGTATGTAAAGAGAAGAAACAGAGGAAAAAAACTACATATGTACACATGTGTGGTACATTAAATGTATCAAGTCTATTGGTATATTTATTGATACATGCATAAAATTAAAAAAAAATGTAATAACAAAAACAAGTTGATTCGCTTTTCTATTGGAAGAGCATTTGCAAATTAAGCGTTTTATGCGCTTTAATATTGTAAATAATTTACCCAGGCTTCTTTAAGCTTGCGAATTTTGGAAATAATCTTGTCAACAATACAGTTATGGTTAAGGTCAAGAACATCTTGTCGCATTTTGGGCCAACTCATGTCTGTTAATAAAACTTTCTGTCTCGCCGAATAGTCCATGGCCTTTTCTCTTAAAAAGTGTTTATTAAAATTTAGATCTGAGAGTATACCCTGCAGTTGAAAATGATTCGTAGCCGGCTGGTCGCGAACAAATTTTATCCGGGGCATTTTACCCATAAGACGCAGTTGAGTGAGCTCATGTTGGAGATGATTGCTATAGCGCCACAGCTCTGGTTCAAGAGCATTTTCTTGTGCATCTGTGCGGCCCAGCCAATATACATTGATGTGGGAGAAGTCGCCTGAAATATTCACACGGGTCACATGCAGTCCTAATCCCACAATTGATTGCGCAGCCGCTCCAGTGGCCAGCAAATCTGTGATGTTTGTCATGAACAACTTGTTCAAGACGGAAATACGACGGGTGTTAAGTTTGGTGGTATGCGGGAAAGACTTTCCAAATGTAGACCTTTGAAATACAATGCTTGGTTGCTGAATACCTCTATTCATATTTTGCAAGGGGTACCAACGCTTCTTACTTCCCGTCAATCGATTTCCAAACAATTTTTCAAGAATTTTGCTCTGTTGCATCACATTACCATTGGTCAATTTCGTTCGCATACAAAAACATTGAATCTGCGTTGACCCTTTAGCGATGGCATTTTGTGGAGTTAAATAAAATTTACGCAACATTCGATATAACAATATTGCTTGTGTCCAAAATTGTATATCTTGCTTTGCAAAACTAATTTTGTACAACCATATGAAGTGAATGAACGGTTATATATATATGAATGTACATATGTACGCAACGTAAATATACATGACAAGGAGCGGGACAACAATATATGTATCATAGTTAATAAATCCATTATAATATAAAGTATACGGCACTCCCGTTAGATTATAGCCCTTTCACACTGGCAACCATCCACCATCCATTTATTGGATGGTCCGTAAGGTTTTGCCGTTCCGAAAATTTCCCAGTTATTCTACCAAAGACAATATAAGAATAAATAACGCCATACGAAATTTTTGCATACGAATTTTGCAGGCTGGCTTTATAGCTGGCTCCAGACTCTCTTGAAATTTTTTAGAGAGAGAGCGCGCTCTAGAGCAGGGGCCGGCAGCGTCGTATGCACTGTGCATAGGAAAAAATTTCGGACAGCGCAGTCGGCACTCGTACAGCGTAAAGACTTCGTGTGGTTTCGTTATTCTGCCCGATGACGTACCGGCAGAGAAAATTCTGCTCTGCTGACGTCGCGGCAGAGAAACATGCTTCGGGCTATGCACAAACGGCTTCATATTCTGCTCGTTTGCCTCAGCAGCAGAATTTCTGCAGCAGAAACCATGAGTCAATTTTTTGTCAGAAGTCAAATAAACAAGACCTCGGTGCGACCCTTTATGATTTTTTCTGCGCAAATTACTTTTAAAGAAAAATGTTCAAACCTACATGGGAAAATCGGTTTTTCTTTTTTGAAAATATGGAAGGCGAGGCGCAATGCTTGATTTGCCAATACATACCAAGTCGTTACGCATTATTTTTTATTGAAAGGCACCACAATATTAAACATTCTCAGTACAAAACAAATTATGGGGGCTGAGTGTGCTTCGAAATTATTGGAGTTAAAAGCAAAATTTTTTCTTACATATGTTGCACCGACAATTGAAGTAACACACCGCCATATGTTTGAAAACGTTCGAGCTCCTATATTGAAAGCTTCATATATCGTAGCTCTTGCATTAGCCAGACAATGTCGCCCCTTTACCGACGGTGTTTTCTTTAAAACATTAATGTTAGATGTTTTACACGGCTTAGATGCAGAGCAAAAAGGCATAGTTCAAACATGTGAGATAGCTTTATCTGCCCGTACGATCGCACGAAGAACCGAAGAAATTGCTACATTAATTCATGGTCAGGCGAAAAAGAGGCTGAGTAGTCGCAAATATTTTTCTGTTTCGCTAGACGAAAGCACAGATATAAATAGTATTTGCCAGCTAATCATCTGCGTAAAAACAGTCGATTAGAATCTAGTCTGCTTTGAGGAACTTTTCGACTTGATTCCACTTCATGGTCACGTTACAGGGCAGGTATTATTTGACCAACTATTGTCAAAAGTTTTGTGTTTTGTGGATTCGAAAAAATTAAGTGCAGTATGTACCGATGGAGCGGCCGCCATGACAGGCAAAATCAACGGCCTTGTGGGGATTCTTAAAAAGAATGGAATTCATTGCCCCTCATTCCATTGCATGATACACCAAGAAGCCCTTTTTGCTAAAGAACTCAAAATAATCTCCGTTATGAAAACTTCTGTACAAATAATAAACAAAATAAGAGGTGGGCATAATGCTTTGACTCATAGGAAGCTCAAAGAGTTTGTGAAAAGTTTAGAAGCTGAATATGGTGACCTTTTAATGTACACAGAAGTACGGTGGCTAAGTAGGGGGAAATGCCTGGAACGGCTCTTTAATTTGCGTAAAGAAGTCACAAGCTTTTTAAAAACAATTGGAAACAACGCTACAGATCTCCTCGTATCCATAGAAAATCCTGACTTTCTAATCGATTAAGCTTTTCTTTGTGATATAACAGACATATTAAATTCACTTAATCTTTCCTTGCAAGGTAAAAACCAGAAAATTTTCGAACTTACTCGATCCATAGCCCATTTCGATAAAAAAAATGTTCCTTATTGACCACTAGCCTTCAAAACAACAATATAGTCGATTTAAAAAAAACGTCGCTAATATTTTCCGAATTAAAAATCAAAACTGACGATAAAATTCAAGAATTTGCAGCTGTTGTCCAGAGTTTAACCCAAAATTTCCGGGAAAGTTTTCAAGATTTTAATATTATATCAACTGCGAGGTGGCATTTTCTAGTTTTAAAATAATTCTGAGCAAGCTCAGAAGTAAAATAAGCGATTCACATCTAACCGATTCAGAGGTTCAGAGGAGCAATAGATTTGGACTCGGTAGTTCAGACGAGACATTAATTAAATTTTTTTGTTGCTGAGTATTTTCTTTACTTTATTTTTTGTTACTAATCTCTAGTTTTTTATTGAGTTATTTACGATTTTTTCTTCTTATGTTAATTTTTTTTATATTTTAATACTTTTTTGTTGGTTTATTCAGTTTGTTTATGATTTTTTATTTTGTTTGGCACAAAACATCTTGCTTTGTCTGAAATAATTTTTTACAGTGCAAAGCAAGAAACTTTTTGCCTTCGGGTGGCCCATGCCCAATCGTTTGGCTGAGCAGCGGCAGAGAAGCAATCGTGTGCCCTATGCACAATTCTTCGGCTCTCGCAGCGGCAGAGAAATAAGTAACGTATTTGACTTCGTGTCTGTTGTTTTCGCACACAAACGCACCAAAAAAATGTGAGTCTGTGTGCCGACCCGTAATTGTCATTAGGGCATTCAGCATGCGACGTATTTAACGACTGTAAATAAATTCGTTTCTCAACTCATAAAAAGGTTTTCGTCTCAAAAATCGTCCGCTTCGCACAAGTAAGCATACATACACAGTTGCTGGTTCTGTGTGTACTCACACATGCAAGCGGATTCTATTTTTAGATTCGAACGCTATCAAATTTGTGCATGCGAGCTGGCGCGAATTTCGTCGCTTGCTGAAAAATTGGCTTGCATATGGCAATTGAAATGTATGAGCGTTACGCATCTTATACTTATATTGTCTTTTATTCTGCCATCCATCTGGGATGTTCCTAGTTCGCACGTTTCTATGCGATATTTCTTCAATAAATTTAAAATGCAACCATAAATAATTGACAATGGGCGCCAGGACAACTTGATAAGTGCCACTTAACCATACAGCAGCGATGCCCAGGCCCATTGCCCTGCGAGCCCTTTTGTTTTTGTAATTGCCCTCAGCATAGAAAACCAATTCTTGTATGCATACACAGTTTGTCCTGTGTACCAGCATACCGAAAGCCCAACAAACAACAACTTTGTGTGTATGCGATCCGTCCAGCAAAAACCGGGTTTGTCTCTTCTCTGATTGGTGTAACCCGACTTTTGTTATGATTTTGTTGTTGTCTTTTCTTCGAGATTGCACTGTTCCCTTATTCGTATTTGTGCCCAGGCCCATTGCCCTGCGAGCCCTTTTGTTTTTGTAATTGCCCTCAGCATAGAAAACCAATTCTTCTAGAAAACCAATTGCCCTGCGAGCCCTTTTGTTTTTGTAATTGCCCTCAGCATAGAAAACCAATTCTTGTATGCATACACAGTTTGTCCTGTGTACCAGCATACCGAAAGCCCAACAAACAACAACTTTGTGTGTATGCGATCCGTCCAGCAAAAACCGGGTTTGTCTCTTCTCTGATTGGTGTTACCCGACTTTTGTTATGATTTTGTTGTTGTCTTTTCTTCGAGATTGCACTGTTCCCTTATTCGTATTTGTGTTTTTGTTTGAGAGCATTGGTGAGTGCTCTGCCGTAAGCTGACTTTGGGCACCCCTGCCATACAATATATAGATGTGCCAGTGCATACAACGAATATGTCTAAGCTGGGATCTTTGCGTACGGTCCCTTACCCTTCGGCTCACGCAATCGGCACGTGACAAACATGTGTCATCTTGTTTGGCGCGAACCGATTTCAACTGCAACCATGGACTGTGTGTGTACGTGTAAAAAGCAAAATAAAAAAAAAAACAAATATGTATGCTTTTTCCATTCTTAGCTCCTGAAAACGGATTTGTCTTGGGGTTCCCGGTTACGTAAATGTGTATGTGCCACATATACTCACATACTGTGCGTGTATGGGTTATAGGTTTTTCTGTTTGCATTATGAGCAGGATCCTAACTACAAGTTACAAGGCGTGGGACTGGCCGGCCGAAATCTAAAAATAGAATGGTTAAAATCACAACACTTGGGTTTTTTATGTTATAGCCTTTTCACCCTGAAGACCATTCACCATCCATTTCTGGGATGGTCCGTAAGGTTTTGCCGTTCCGAAAATTTCCCAGTTATTCCACCATCCATCTGTGCGGTGTTTTTTCGATAATTGTCAAATGCAACCAAAAATATTTGACATTCACAACGAAAAAATCGGAATTCACTACGAATTCAGTGATCAATCAGCTCTCATTACGCTCGGACGTGTTCTCGCTATGTCGCTTTATCACTGCTCGGAATGCAATTCGGACGTCACTGCCGCTCAGCTTCGTTGCTTTGATGCTGTTCGGTGTTCTTCTATATGTCGACGTGCGTTTCATTTGACGTGCATTGATCTACACTCAGATGCCGTAAAACTGTTAATAAATCTGCCTAACCTGTTATGGCAGTGTGATAACTGTGTGGTTTCTAATGACTCGCATTCGAAAATTGACGAAATTAATGATAAGGTTCTGAAGCTTGAAAGCCTTTATCGGGATCTCAAGTCGGACTTACAGGGCCTTTCCGTCAATCCTAAGCGGGGGAAGCCTACTAGGAAAGAGGCCAACAAGCCCATGCCAGCGGCTGATTTGTTGTCTCCGCGACTAGGGGCCGCCACCTCGACGGCGGTCATTGAACCGGAATCAGCTGCTGCTCTTCCATTAGATTTGGATGGCTTTGTCACAGTGAGAAAGAAGGAGAGGAAGAATAGAAACAAAAACACTAAGCGTTTTGTTGGTATTGCTCCGAGCTGTGAGTAGCTAAACGTTATGCAGAGTAACAAATACATGCATATCGGTAAATTTTCTACCGCGACGGAGCCAGAGGTGGTGGCAAAATTTGTTGCCGAACAACTTAAGGTGCCGGTAGCGAAAATTTCTTGTACGAAGCTAGTCAAGCGAGATGC